CGCTCTTCTGTGATATTGGATGTAGAAGGTAAGCTAGTGTAACTGGAAGGTCTTTTCTGTGAACTAGAATCTCAAGTTTTTATATTCCTAAACTTTTCCATTGTTATTTTTTCATCTTCTTGAAACTAAAATCATTAAATGAAAACGAAGTTAGATGCAGAAGCAGCATCCCATATATGGAGATAACTATATGATTTGCTATGATAGCATACATTGTATTACAGGTACATGCTCACGTTACGTTTGCTATGACTGCTTCAAGTTCTGCGTAAGATTGTTTTTACTCCCCGTAGTGAGTATCATAGCTGATCAGATTGTATCACCTCAACACAAGCAGTAAACAATACGAATGTCAAATAGTCAGATGTGGGAACAAAACAAAGAGTAATAATTTTACCCTTCTACCCCTCTACCCAGAGAATTGACGGGACTGGTTATCTTTGTTAATAAACTAAATTTCTTTCCTACACGAAATGCAGCAGCTCCTTCCAGCAGCCCAATAGAGTGGTACTACATTGTTGGACCGGTGGCTGCGTTCATGTTCATCCTGGCACTCATTGGATATATTGAAAAGCGCCGTACGGCAGGTAAAAGGAACTTTGAAGAGGTGCCATAGGTTACCTAAAAAAGTGCTTTGTATAGAAAATTGCGGCTTTTAATATGTCAGTATTAAAAATTATAAGAGCTATCCTTACTAGGTCACGTTCTTCATTTCCAAAACTGACCTTGAGGGCCACTTTTTGCTACCCGCAAACCCATTAGTTGATCTAATCACAAACTAAAAATGGTCATAAATTACATCCTGCTAGTCACCATAGCAACACACCTTATTCCTTCTTAATTTGGATATATCAACAAAGTTGAAATGGTAAATTGGCCACCGTAACGATTACAAAAGCTGACGTTTCGAGCGTTAGCCCTTCCTAGGAGCGAATAGAGGAATTGTGGGTAGTGTGTGCTCTTAAAGGCAGATATTGGAGCTACGTTATTGGTGGGAACATGGCAACGAGAAAAAACACGAATAAAATTAGTGGAATGGAAAGCGTTTGTTGATCCCTGTGGCAGTCTAAATCCCTCAGAGATCAACGAACGCTTTTCGTTCCACTAATTTATTCGTGTTTTGCTCGTTGCCATGTTCCCACCAATAACGTAGCTCCATTTTCTACCTTTAAAAGCCCACACAACCCACAATTCCTCTATTCGGTCCGACGAAGGGCTAACCCTTGAAAAGTCAGCATTTTTAATCGTTATCGTGGCCAATTTACCATTTCAACTTTGTTGATATATCCAAATTATTTCGTTACCCCCACCGACGCAGCCCCAAACAGTTTCTTTAGAAACTGTCAGCCTTTATTCCCTCTTAGTTTTAGACATAGTCTAATGTAATTTAATAGTGACTTCTGCACCGAATGAACTAAGTGAAGAAAGTCATTCTTGCTCACAACAAAGCCATTTCTTCCATCAATAGCTTTCCAAGAAGATGCAGGACCGGACGAGCGAGGAGCAGCTGAAGCAATTCCCAACCGTGAACGGGGTGAACACGGTGCTACTGTAAATCCCTTTGTGACTGAAGAAGATATCAATTTAA